AATTGTAAATCAATGATATTACCAAGTATGCATTTTAGATAAGCTGAATTTTTTTCATGGTAAGACTTTCTCAATAAAGGAAGTGGTATGTGATTTATATTCAGCTGCAAACTCTTTATCTTGTCTAGGGCCAGTACTTTAAGTAACTCTATCTAGATATTGGTTTTCGCATCTCTGTGAAGTAAGCTATTGCAGATGGCCTCCTTGGTACAAACACCTTGACATGCAAGATAAAATGTAGTGAAAAACACTTAGCTATGCTGGAAAGAGAAAGAAAAACTTCTGGGCACTAGGAAGTTAAAACTGGATTAAGATCTTGCCCCTCAGTAACCCATAGGACTGCCTAAAATAGATGTCAAGACTCCACCATGTAGCTATTAATATGGAAAAATTCATGAAGTCTTCCACACTAGTAGGAATAAAAAAAAAATAAGTAAAGTTGCTGGATATAAGATTAATATACAAACATCAGTGAAATGCAGTTGGGAAAAAAATCATCCTTTTCAACCATTATAATAAAGATTGGGTCCGGCATGAAGAGCAGTGGATGCTAAAATCTAAAGGGAAATTTAAATGAAGATCAGGATACTTGTCTAGTCTGAAAGTATCTTTTCACAGTTAGCTAATCAGTCACAAAAGAAAAGTAGTAATTATATAAAGAGCAGAAATTGAACAGTACCCTGACTTTATAATAAAAAATATCAATGAGGCCCTGCCTGGTGTGGCTAATTGGCTAGAGCATCTGCCCATGTACCAAAGGGTAGAGGGTTCAATTCCTGGTCAAGGGCATGTACCTGGATTGTATGTTTGTTCTCTGCCCTCGGTGGGGCTAGTGCTGGAGGCATCCAATCAATGTGCCTCTCTCACATAGATGTTTCTCTCTCTCTCTTTCTCTCTCTTTCTCTCTCTCTCTCAATGGAAAAAATATCCTTGGGTGAAGATAAAAAAAAATTCTGCATATTCCAAGAAGATTCATCTGAGACTGATGAGGCCACTGGGACTCCTTCCCAGATGAAAATGAGCCTCACATCTGAATGCCTTCTGTGGTCGATTCTCAGTCACCTTGGGACATAACTGTGCCTGCTCTGAGCTGTTAGAGATGGATGATTTATGGGTTTCACCATGAAAGACTTCTGTGCTGTCTTTCTGAGGTGCTTAAATTAGACTTTTCTGTTTATAAACCAGTTCAGCAAGTAGAAAGCTCAATAAATCCTATTGATCTTCAGAGATTTCTCCTCAGTCTGGCTTCCATTCTTGTGCTTTCCTTTGGTCAGGTGTTTGGGTTCAGAATGTAGTGGTTTCTTTTTCATGAACAAAACTCAAAGATAGTCAGAGGAGACTTTTGAGATCCAGGGGAAGGATTCCTTATGTGTAATTTATTTTAAGTTTTATGCGTGCTTATGGTAGAAACCCATACATACAGAATTGTACATATAGGCAAGTCAAATTTTCTCATTTGATTTCAATCCTGTGTCCCTGCAAGTAGCCATTGTTATGGTTTTACGTGTATGTGTCCATAAGGACATATGCAAAGTCAATCATGTACGTTTTTCTAAAGGTGGAGAGAAAATGGTAGGCTGGACATCATCAAGGGGGGCAGGTCTGTGCTTAGACTTTCTCTTTCTTCTGCTTACCAGTGCAAAGACAAAAAACAGAAAAACAAAAACCACATCATGATAGAGGGGCAACACTGTATTTTAATTGATTATTTTAAAATTAAATATAATTGACAAGTAACATTACATTAGTTTCAAGAGTGTACCATACTGATTCAATATTTGTATATATTGCAAAATGATCACCACAATTAGTTTAGTGCACATTCGTCACCACACATAGTTACATCATTTTCTTCTTGTAATGAAAATTTTTTTATTTTTCAATTACAGTTTACATTCAGTATTATTTTGTATTGGTTTCAGGTGTACAGCATAGTGATTAGACAATCATATACTTCACAAAATGTTCTCCCCGATATTTTCAGTACCCATCTGATACCATATATAGCTATTACAATATTGACTATCCCTATGCTGTCCTTTACATTCCCCTGACTATTCTGTAACTACCAATTTATATTTATTAATCCCTTCACCTTTTTCACCCAGTCCCCCAACCTCCCTCCCACCTGGCAACCATCAGTCTTTTCTCTGTATCTCTTTTAATTTTGGTTGTTCATTTACTTTGTTCTTTAGATTCTACATATAAGTGAAATCACATGGTATTTGTCTCTCTCTGACTGATTTCACTCAACATAATGCCCTCTAGGTCCATCCATGCTGTCACAAATGGTAAGATCTAATGCTTTTTTATGGCTGAGTAATGTTCTATTGTGTGTATGTACCAAGCCTTTTTATCTGCTGTCTATTGATGGGCACTGGGGTTGCTGTCATATCTTGGCTATTGTAAATAATGCTACAGTAAACAGAGGGTGCATATATTCTTTCTAATTAGTGTTTCAGATTTCTTTGGATATATACCCAGATGTTGGATGGCTTGGTCATAAGGCAGTTCCATTTAAAATTTTTGAGGACCTTCCATACTGTTTGCATAGTGGCTGCACCAGTCTCCAATCCCACCAACAGTGCACGAGGGCTCCCTTTCCTCCACATCCTCACCAACACTTGATGTCTGTTGATTTATTGATGGTAGACATTCTGACAGGTGTGAGGTGGTATCTCATTGTGGTTTTCAAATTGCATTTCTCTGATGATTAGTGACACTGAGCATCTTTTCATATGTCTATTGACCATCTGTGTCTTTTAAGATTTATTCTTAGCAACTTTTAAATATACATTACAGTATTACTTACTATAGTCACCATGCTCTATATTACAGCCCCACAATTAATTTATTTTATAACTGGCAGTTGTACTTTTTGACCCCCTTCACCCATTTTCCCCACCCCACCCCTGCCTTTGCCTTCAGTAACAACCAATCTGTTCTCTGTATCTATGAGTTCTTCTTCTTTTTTTAAGATTCCACACATCAGTGAGATTATATGGTACTCATCTTTTTCTGTCTGACTTATTTCATTTAGCTTAATGCTCTCAAGGTCCATCCGTGTTCTAAAAAAATGAAAGATTTCTTTTTATAAATGAGTAATATTCATATGTATTCAATTTAACATATAGGAGAGTCTTATATTAAATAGAATATATGTATATATATAAAATGGAATATTATTCAGCCATAAAAAGAAAGAAATCTTTATATATATATATATGTGTGTGTGTGTGTATCCCCAAAAATGTATACACAAACTTTGGATAATTATAAAGGCAGTGTTTATTAAAATACATTTCATTTTAAAAATTGAGCTATCAGCTGTTAAAGTGTGTATACATTTTGTGATATATATATATGTGTATATATATATATATCACATTTGCATTCATTCATCCATCTATGTATGGACATATAGGTTGTTTCCATATCTTAGCTATAGTAAATTATGCTGTAATAAACTTGAGGGTGTATGTATATATATGTTTGAGTTAGTATTTTCATTCCCTCTGGATAAATACCCAGAAGTGGAACTGCTGAACCATATGGCCATTCTATTTTTAACTTCCTGAAGAATCTTCACAAACATATCTTCCAGTGGCACCTGAGATGTCCTGAGCAATTCACTTCACTCTCAGTGAACCTCGGAGGCAACACAGTGGTTATCGAGCCAGGGAGATTGTTAACTGAGTAGAGCCCCATGTTCATCCTTGGATGGCTCTGCTGCTCCAGCATTAACCCAGAAAGCAGGATTTTAAACGACAGTTTTAAGTGATTCTGAGGAAGGGACACTGATGACCCCTTTTGAGAAAACTGGCTCAGGGGAGCACTGGGCACACCCCCAATGAGTCTCCTACTGTTGTGTAATCTTGATGAACACAACCTCTCCAATCACACTCTCTTATCCGTGTAAAATGGAGATTCAAAAATACATATTTTGAGCCTTTGGAGTTCAAGATGGTGGTGTAGAAAGACCCTGAACTCACCTTCTCCCACGGACACAATGAATCTACAGCTACACAAGGAATGATTCCCTCTGAAGGGGACCTGGAAACTGGATGAACTGAGCCTCCACAACAGGGGGCAGCACCCAGGGTAGGAGAGGCAGAGATACAGTCCTGCTAAGGAACAGCTATTCTCCAGGCACAGTGTTTCACTGTCGGGAGGGATCTCAGGTACAGAATTTTACCCCCAGGAGTGAAGGATTTGAGCTCAACATCTGGTACCTCAACTTTTAGATCCTGCACAGGAGAGATGAACCCACACGACACCTGGGTTTGGAAAGCAAAGGGGAACATGTCCAGGAAAACTCTAGAACTGCCGGGTATTTGTACCCATAGACTCTAACACAGCGTCTTAGACCTCCATGGTAAACATGCTTATCCTACTCCCCGGCCAGTGGTGGCAACACTCCTATAGAACAAAACTTGAGCTACAGAAAAAACAAAACTCAAAACATCTTAGTTCACGGGAAAAGGAAAGCAATCTATTTCATTTTTGGAATTTTTTTAGGGCCACATAAAATTTATGGGAATTTTAATATAGAGAGAAGAATGCAAGTTTATTATAAGTAATATGAAATTATGCTTCATTTTCACATTATGTATACTTAGGAGTGATAGGAATGGAAGAGAGGAGATTGGAAAGAGACAAATAGGAAAAAATAGAAGAAAAATCAGAAGATTCGAAGGGGAAAGAGTCGGGAACTTGGGAGTTAAATAACTTGACAAGTACTTGGTGAATGCCCATTCTCGTTAAACAGTTCCTCAAAATGCATGGCCTCAGAATTGAAGACTGTTGGGAGAGGTGGACTCTTAGGCACTGTGACCACACTGGAGGTGGGATGTTTTGGACAGGGGATTTGGGGGAATCCTGAAATCTCTAAAAACATTTTACACTGTTTGGTTATTGGCTCCTTACGTGAAAGGGTCCCTGAGCACGCAAGGCACCTGCCCAGTGCCCTGTTACCAACGGAGAGCGCGGCATCTCAGGTCTCATCTTCTGCAGAGCCTCCACATCCTCGCCAGCAGTTTTCTCAGGGCTGCCTTCACATCCTTATTTCTCAGGGTGTAGATGAAGGGGTTCAGGGTGGGAGTGATTATGGAGTAGAAGAGGGAAATAAACTTGCCCTGCTCTTGGGAGTAGCTGGAAGGGGGCTGCAGGTACATATAGATGGCAGGAAGGTAGAAGAGGGAGACCACCACCAGATGGGAGGAGCAGGTGCCAAAGGCCTTGTGCCGTCCCTTGGAGGACGGGATCCTGAGCACTGCACGCGTGATGAAGCTGTAGGAGAGCAGGATGAGAGCCAGGGGGACCAGCACGAAGAAGGCCACCAGCACGGCCAGTGTGGCATCGTTCACAGCTGTGTCAGCACAAGACAGCTTGATCATAGCTGGCACTTCACAGAAGAAGTTGTTTAGCACCTGCCGCCCACAGAAAGGCAATTGCACTGTCAAGACTACCTGAACTAGGGAGTTGCCAAAGCCACTTAGCCAGGCCACGGCCACGAGCTGCTGACACAGAGGGCGGTGCATAATCAGGGCGTACCGCAGGGGCTCGCAGATGGCCACGTAGCGGTCCAGGGCCATGGCCGCCAAGACGATGCATTCAGTGCACCCCAACCAGTGGAAGATCGCATACTGCACCGTGCAGCCACCGTAGCTGATGGTCTTCCTGGAGCTGCCCATGTTGACCAGCATCTGAGGGACCGTGGTGGTGGTATAGCAGAGGTCTAGGAAGGAGAGGTGGCTGAGGAAGATGTACATGGGGCTGTGGAGCTGGGGATCCAGCCGGGATACCAGGATGATGGCAATGTTTCCCAACATGGCAAGAACATAGGACACCAGAAGGACCACAAAGAGAGGGAATTCCAGCCATGGCCTGTCAGAGACACCCAGAAGGATGAAGTCCCTGGGATGATCCCCCAAGAAGCTCTGGTTGTCAGTTCTCATGCTGAGGCATATTCTGGCACCTGTGATGAACCAAGGACGTCAGAATGAATAACACTTGAGAAGAGGAATTGTCTCACCTCTGTAGAGGCACCGAGATGTGGGGGAGTCAGAGCCAGGAGGCAGACCAGCTGCGTATGTACGTTGCCCTCCCTCCTACTCCGTGATCTTGACTATGCCATTTAATCTTTCTGAACTTCGATTTCTGCATCTGTGACAAGGGGAAAGAATACCTACTTCGACTATAGAGTCTTTGAGATGATAAAGGGACACTACCTTGGTGAAAGCATAACGTATGGACAGTTTTCTTTCAATTTGGTCCAAGTCAGCCATAGCTCCCAGCACCATTAGAATGTTTGTCTTGTCTCTACAAACTCATTTACAAGGAATTTACTACTTTCTTAGACTTTTTTGCTTTACATTTTGGAGGTAGAAGAGGTGAGAGGTGGCATAAAGCAAGCATTAGTTGGGGGGTTATTACTATGAACACACCCTACCCACCTCCTAAGGCTTACATCTGGCTCCCTGGCCCTCTGTACCATGCTGGTCTCTCCTACCATGACTACTCACACACAGGCAGCACTGTCACTCACTGTGACAGCAAAGAGAACACAATCCAACATCCTGAGTCCCTGGGGTGGAGAAGCGAAGTCACTCCCACCCCTTCCTTGATCATGGCACCTAATGTGACCCCAAAGGATAGGATTTGAACACAGGGAGAAAGATATTGGTCTGGTAAGGAACACAGCCCTGGTGTTGGCTCCTGAAGGATCAGATGGCTGCCAATGCTAACATTTATGGGGCAGTCTGGACGTTTGAATTCCCTCTACAAGTTCTTTGCCAAGCAGCTGTTTCCTTTCAGAGTTGGAAAAGACAGTGATTTGGTTTCAGCCTCCAGCCTCCTACACTCTCCCCAGGACTGTACATGCCCAAGTTCATGATGGGGATGATATATTTCATGTAGGATTGAAAATAAGTTGAATCCTGTCTGTGCGTCATTTGTGAAGGATTCCATTTTAGTTTCTCATTTGGTGCTTTATCCATAAACTATGAAATTCATGGAGATCTGCTCAGGTTGGATGGTGCAATACCCGCCCCCCCAAGTCCTAGATTCTGAAGAACTCTAGTATACTATTTGAAAACAACTAAAACTCTGGGATTTAAATGGGTAAATAAGTGCAAATTACCTCTTGTCCTCTGTTGTTTCAAAACTACATACTATTTGCTAGAAAGTCCCCAATATTTGTTTGGAACACCTAATCATTGCACTGCTCCCACTGTTCTATTAAAACTATGCCTAGGGTAAATCTTAGTGAATCAGGTTCTTTTGTCTCTAGTGGGAGCTCAGGACCCTGGTTTTGATGCAGTGAGCTGGGCAGGGCAAACTAAGGCTAGCCCACTTTAAAGAAAATAATAGTAATTATGTCATTTCCCTTTCTTAAATTTCTGATTCCATGATTTCTTCTCAGAGTCTAAACTGAACAAGAAAAGGAAAAGTTGCAGGGATAGCGAAGGAAGGTAAAAGGCATGACAGAGCTGAGAAAGACAGAGGGGTCGATACCGCCTACATTTAATAAATACAAATTATTAAGCGCTTGCGGGGAGCTGGTGCTGTGATTACAACTTCACAAGAAACCCGACTTAGTGCTTTAATGACTCAGTAAAGGAGATGCCTTTCACCCATTTTACTGTTGATCAGAGCGGTGTGGGGAGGCTAGCCGGCCTACCTGAGGTTATTACCACAGCAGCAAGCAGCTAAGCCACGTCTGAAAGCTGAGGTCTGGCTCTGGACCACTGTTCTCTCCAGCAGTTCGCTTTTCAAAAAGCAGTTGGAGGGGGTGGGGGTGGGAAGAGATTAACCAAAGAATTTATATGCGTGTACGCATTGCGGGTGGACACAGACAATAGTGAGGTGAAGGCCTGGGGTGGGGCGGAAGCTGGGTGGAGCGGTCAGTTAGGGAACAAAAGGGGGGACATCTATAATACTCTCAACAATAAAGATAAATTTAAAAAATAACAGTAACAACAACAAAAAAGCAGTTGCTGAATAGCATTTGTGCGAATGACCGAGACAGAAGAGAATGCCTGAAAAAAGAGAGTTATGTCACCAGAAGGAAAGGGGTGAAGGAACTGAGAAGGAGAGGCTTTTTGTAATTCCCAGTTCCGTGTACTAGGCATGTGTGGGCGTGCGCACACACACACACACACACACACACACACACACAGCAAGCCTGCACACCACCCTGGCCTGGCCGTGCTAGCTCTGCATCCAGTCCTTTCCACATGGAGCTCTGCTTCGGATCCAGCCTCCACACTCCCCTGACCCTCTCCTGTCTCCTTAATCCCCAAACAGAGGTGTTCCCCAAGCTGTGGGCTTGCTTTTCCGGGTGAACACAGTAATGTCCAAGTCAGCTACAAAACCCTTAGCAGAATCCTTCCAGAGCTGTCTGCAGCTGACAATTCCTCACTGATGTCCAGCCCTCCTTTTGACATTGTTAACAGAGGCATTGCACCTGTCAGCCATTCCTCCATCCTCCAACCAGCCCCTTCCTTCTAATTTCTGGCTGCCTCTGCATCAGTCACCCTGACTCCAACTGTTCAGGTGATTTCTAATAATGTCCTGTTCCTCACTCGCTACATTTCATCAGCGACGGTGTCCTAGCCATGGCTGTCTATACCCTCGCCGCTGCTGTCCTGGGCCAGCACAGCCATCTGGAACCCTTGGAGCCCACTAACCGTCTCCCTGTAGGCAGTCTCTTTCCTATCCAACCGTGCTAGCTCTGCACCCAGTCCTTTCCTATCCTTCACAATGGACTCATCTTTCCAAGACTCAGTTCTTAAGAGCAAAGCTATCTTTAGTTCTTCCATTACCTAAAACGTAAGACCCCATCTCCTTAAACAGTCACATGGTAAGAGTAGGGATTGCGTTCTTCTCATATGGATTCCTCGGCAGTTTCTTCTGACCACTGTCATGTGCCGTGGGCTCGCTTGCAGGCCAGGCCGTGAACAGTGGATGGCCCTGTGGTGTATGTCATTCTCTGTGGGGTACAGAGCTCTGGCGATACATGCAGACATACCACCACAGTGCCTGACGTTTGATGGAGCATGCTATCTGCTCCAACAAACAAGAGAGAAAATCTAGAAATAAGCTCATGAAGAGGGAATATGGCAATGAGGTCATGGGCTTTTATTGCCGCTTAGCCCCAAAGACCTCTTCCTTCGATCTAAATTCAGCCCGAACCCTGCCACCCAGATGACAGGTGCAGGCCCTGTTCAACAGCTGAGGCCATAGCTGGGATGACAGCACTTTCCTTCACGCATGTGAACAGGGGCTCTTTCATCACAAAAAGAAAAAAGCGCTTTCTCATGGTTTGTGTGCATCTCCTGTCCTGATGACATGCTTAGCTTTGGATGGAACTTCTGATCAGCGTAAAATCAAGAAGTAATCTGGCACACTGAGGAGTCTGAACGTACCGTGCGCGCTCTGCCCCTTCGCTGTGCTCTGCTCACGCTCACTGTGCGCCCGGCTGTGCCTACATCTTCCCTCAGGGAGGGTCCCCTCCCTGCACGGGGCGCCTGGGGTTCACTGCAGCTTCCTTCATCAAGCGCCCTCTCTGATTCCCCACCGTGGACCATCCCCTGGAGGCTCCACATACAAAGGGTTTGAAGAGCACTAATAATCACCTCTTCACAAGGGGACTGACGTATAATTTTTCAAAATGCTTTAATTTTAGAGATTAAACAATAGTTCCTAACATCATGATGGAAGGGCAGTAAGTCAGCATTAGAGCACCATCCCCGTCAGTGTACCAGGCACTAGGTGCATGCCATCGCATGGCTGCTTCAACAGTGAGGCAGACGGAGACTTCATGAGGGTTAAGGGCGCCCTCTACCTTCAGGCCAGTGCTGCGACCTGACTCCATGGGCTAAGCCATTCAAGCCCCCCTTGCTGGCTCACACAGAGGGAACATTACCTCCTTACAGGCCCCGGATGCTGTAACCACTGACCCAGGGCACCTGCCTCTAAAGCATCCTCAGTCCCCATGTACATGCATGACTCTTTGTTAAACAGCCTTTAAAGCTGAAAAGTCCTTAAGGCCTTGCCTAATGGAAAACTTAATGATGTGCTATATCGTCTGCTACTCATTTCCAATATGCTACATTTTACTTTTTGTGGAAATTGTAATTTCTTTAAAAGCAAGCACCTATCTTACACATTGTGTCATTCACGGCACTTAGAATGTGTGAGTAATGCAATTAATTCATGGAATGATTGCTGATTTTGTTAACAAATCTAAGGGTCTCATTCCTCAAGTAGCTCCTTCTTCTGTGTGGCACGTAGAGTTCTGGGCCCATCAGTGGTTCTTTCTGGTTGTGGTGGGAGCGGAAAGGGAGAGCAGAAGGAGCTGGAACACAGCAGGGTCGGGTCTCCGGGACCACAAAGAAAGGACATAAACCCAAGCAGGGAGGACACCCACCTCTGTAAACATCCACCTGTCACTGAGACAGAGACAGCCCCCTCCTGCACATGCCAGCTCCCCACTGACACGCCATTGCCTTTATTTGTTCTCTATACATTTCACTTGCTGCTAAAATCGAGCTCAAGGCTTACTTTCTCTGGAGACTGGTACTTACTTGCTTTACTTGCTTTGTTCCTCTCTGTCCACAGCCTCACTGGACGTACTGTTGGTTTTCTGACTGACTCAGCATTGTCCGAAACACTGAGGAGCAGCAGAAATGGGTTTCAGGGTCCTCATACACCCCGGGCAACACCCACCCCGCTGATGAGTATTACACGGCTGGTCTACCTAGAGGCAGGGATAGCGTGTTCTGTTTCTTGCAGTCTTCTAGCTCAAAGTACACCGTTTTACACATGCTGCTTCTTCATGCATGGCCACTGTTCCTTGTCACACCTGTCCTCCATTCCATGTCCCCTTGGCCTCCAGCATAGGTCAGTGCTTATACTGCTACAGCCTGGCCAACCTCTGCTGCATGGTGCAGAC